CATTCATATGTAGTGGTGAAGATTTGATTTTTTTGTAAGCTTATGGTAATATCGTGCTATGTTTTGACCTTGATAGTTTAATTCACCCTGAACACTTTGAGAGTACTGAGTGAAACCATGTGAGGGTGTTAAGTCTTGTTGCACTTGATGTTGGTGGATTAATGAGATTTTCTAATTTTGATTCAAATTTATCTCATTTGTGCTATTTCTCTTAATTATCATTATGGTTCAAATCCTTGACGTGTGCTTAACTTTATTGATAATTTGGGATATTAAATGAGACAAAAAGAAGGTAGATAAACGAGTAGGTATGTTGAATTGAGGCATGCTTGAGGACAAGCATGATTTAGGTGTGGGAGAATTTGAAAAGTTATAATTATATACATCTTTTTATGATTAATTCCCCTATAATCTTATTAGAAATTGATCCTAATTGTGGAAATTATGTTTGTTTTTATTCAGGAGGTGAAATATGGATGCAATGGTGAAAATCAGCTCAAAAGCATGCGTTTAGACTTCTATGTGAGAATCGAGTTTTTTGGAAGAATATGGAATTGGGCAGAAGACCATCTTCGACAAGGCATGACTATGCCTTATGACTGACATGAGGTTGCTGTCTAATAAGAAGAATATGAACTTTTGGAGTCAAATTCGAGATGAAGTTCACTTTTATGGATGTTTCCATTATTTTGAAAGTATATTGCCAAGAATCAATCTCTTTTCAATTAGGACTTCATTTATTTTCATTTTACTTTTTTCTAGCTTTCCTTATTTAAATTAGACTCATCTAAAGGAGATTTATTTTGGCTCTCTATATAAAGAGTATCTTAGCCACTTTTTAGGATATTTTTTGATAGCACAACTTCTTTTCTCTTTTATTTTCATTCTACCATGAGTGGATAAGCTTTTATTTCTGATTCTAGGGTGAAAAGATTTTGTTGTAATTTTGTGAGGCTTGTGCTAAATTAGTTTTTCTCCTTTAATCTAAGTTATCTTTACTTATTGTTCTTATTTTTATGAATTTTTTATATTGATTAAATTGACACCTTAATTTGATATTGAGTTTGTTATCGCTATTCATAAGTTTGTGATATGTAATTGTTATGAACAATTGATATAAGTAGCAAGGGGTAAGTCTCATAATTTATGTTTGTTACATTTTATTTTTCGAACTTCGCATCGCTCATGACAGTCTCCGGGGAAATAAAGGTACGAAATTAATTGATTTTGTTTTGGTCATTCCCACGATTCTTAATGTTATCATCAATGGTAAGATTTGATTTGAATTCTTGTTGCAAATAGTTTGGCTTATCAATTATGAAAGGGGAACCATACTTGTTACGGTTCCAAGCAATTAACTAATTACTTGGATGTTGAAAATTAATCTTTTAAGCCTATGATCAAAATTACAGTCGGATGAAGTACCACATTTGAATTGGAAGTTCGATAAGAATGGATTTTCATTATTTTTAATTTTAGTTTTGTTTCTTGATTTTTTGTTTCTTGATTTTAGTTCAATAAACCAAAACCCCGCCATTTTACTTTTATTGCTTTAACATTGAGATTCTAATTTAAGCTCTCCTGGAATTCGACCTGATCTCACTATTACTACAAGTTAGTTTAGTATAAATAAGTTTTTATTTTACAGGACTTCAACAACTGTCACATTGCAAAGAAATTCTCCGTTACATTTACTGTCATCAGGTAATAAATTTGAACATTTTTTTTGTAAAAATGAAGGAATATCTTTGTTCTTCACTTGGATATACGTGTGTCATTGAATCTTGCATGAATCTTGCATAAATCTTGCATAAATCTTGCATGCATCATGCATAACAAGGATGGAGGTTGGGGATTATGGACATAGCTTAATGTGGAACCTGATGGTGGCCTCGATAATGCTTGTGAGAGAGCCCGAATATGGACTATTGATCAAGGGGGTGTCATAAACATTACCTCTTGGGGAAAGACTTGTCTTGTAGTATGCAGTCTTTATTTTGTTTACTATCAAAATTAATCTCTACACATTAAAACATGGTTTCATGTATATTTCTTTAATGTAGATACTGGGTGTTTACCTTACTGTCATTTTCATACTATGATACTGAACTGATTTTGAACTTATCTGTATTTTTTGTTTTTGCACTATTGGAACACACTGTGCTCCCTCGCTTACTCTCCCAATCTTTTTCCCATTCAGATACTATTGGATAAGCAATCTGAACTTGATACTTGGAGGATCGGCACATTCCCTGCAATGCATTTTGTTGTAATGTTTTCATCTTTTGAACTATCTTTATTTTAGTGACACGTGCCTATATTTTGAGATACATGTCTTATGATGTTTACTCTTTTTTCCATCGACATGTGGAACATTTTAATACTATTAATTCAAATTTTATATTAATTATAATATTTATATTTTTAATACTTTTTTTGCCATTATATGATTTTAAAGTGTTGAAAAATGTTATAAAAAAATATTGTAATCGGCTAGATCTAGTCGTAACGTATAGGATGGGTCTAGGGGTTAGAGTTATACCTCTAGAGATATAATTTTGTCTACTAAGATCATTTTAGGAGGGACTTTCCCACGAAGAAAGTTCTCATACTGCCAAAAAAATCCTTGACAAGACCTTTGATAAATTCAAGAGATTTTTCAAGACAAAATCTACCAAGTGAAGGTTGTATTTATATACAATATTGATCTATAAATATCAATCATCACTCTTGAATTGACAACAATACGTATAAGGAGTCAATATGTAAGCCCTATACTAAGCAAGATAAGGAATCTTCTCCTAGTCTTTCATTCTACTCTCACTGAAATCTTCAATACAAAAATGATTGTAGGCCAATCGTCCGATCATCATCAGTCGCGACTCTCTGTCCTCATCAAAAGGATGAATCAACTACTATTGACACAACTCATTTATTCTTAGTAACCTTAAACTACATTTATCATTATTTTATGTCATGTAATTATACATCTATTTATTACTTAGTAATTTTGAGCTTTACCCCTTCATTGAATACTTTTATTTGTTGATAAAAAGGTATATATACCCATCAAAGGAAAATAATCGAATATGGTAAATGATGCACAGACTTTGATGGATTTAATTATTTGTGGCATACCACAATTCTAAATAAACAAAGAATTATATATGTAGATTTTCATAATCACCATACATATACACATATATGCTTCTGAACAGGAAAAAAAGAACCCTATACCACTGCATCGAGCTACAAAATTGTTGATAAATTTTTAGCTGTCAAACGGTGGTTTTCCCCAGCAGGTAAACCATACATATCTAGATTACATATGCTTTTTGTATATGTGTGTGTAAATTTTGGATAAAATGGAAAAATACAGGGACTGTGTGGAACTTTATTCAAGAATAATATGTTACACTATGCATCATACATGAATGCTTTCTCATTGTGGCCTCTTTGGGAGTACTGCAATCATGTTTGACCTTCTAAATAAATATACTTTTTAATATAAATAAGGATCATGTGGAAGATAATTGTGTAAAAACTAAGTATATTTAATTGTATTTTGGATTATTAGTAATGGTCTTTCATCCTTTGTAACTGGAAAAGGACATCAATGAAGTTGTACGATTGGCCTTCTAAATAAATTAATATGCTTTGGAATGAAAGAATGATCAATCCCTTATGTTGTCCTTTACTTTTAAAATATTTATTTATATTTTCTTGATTAATTCATTCTAAAAAACGATCGCATGATTTTATGTTTGAGAATGAGTTTATAAAATTTTAATGGGGTAAACATGGCTAATCAATAGAAAATATAAAGAAAATACTTAAATTATATAAAAATTTAAAATTTTCAAGGGCGAAAGATCCAAACAATCCCCTCTTCGGTCTATCATTGTCCATTCTTTTACATGTTTTAAGGGTGCTAAAGTTCCCAAAGATGTTTATTGGTTGAATACGAACTTGTCTTACTAAGTTTTGTTTTTTATTGAGGTGAATGGTGGATTGGTAGTTTTCTTTCCAAGAGCAAAACGTATTATATAAGAGGATCTTTCATCCTTATAATGGATATTCTGTTAGGAGTTTTTTTAATATAATTATTAGTTTTCAATTTATTAATTGATTATTTAAGACAGAATATTACAAAAGTTTATTATAAGAATGATTCTTTTAATTAATTTTCCTCTATTCATAAGACATGGTTTATCACTATATCAAGGGTGAATCTCATAAGAATTTATTGAAAATGGTAGGGGAAATAATATCACTGGTCAATTATTAGTAGTAAGTTTATAAATGTGCCACAATATTTAAAAAAGTCACAATTAAAACACTCAATTTATTGATTGTAATGATTAAGTCTCTATTAGGGGTGTAAACGAGCCGAGTCGAGCTCGAGTATTGCCAAGCTCAACTCGAACTCGAAAACTTTAAACATAAGCTCGACTCAACTCGAAAACTCGGGAGCCTAAAATTTTCAAACTCGACTCGAACTTGAAAGATAAAATTGAAACTCGACTCGAACTCAAAAAAAAATTCAAGAGTTCGACTGAAGCTCGAGACTCGATTGAAGCTCGATTCAAACTCGATTTTGAGCTCGATTCAAGATCGATTGTGACCTCGATTCAAGCTCAACTTAAACTCGAGGATGGGTTAATACTTTTTTGCTGAAACCCATTCCCCTTTTATACATTAGACTTACCCCTTATTCCCCAAGAACCAACGATGTCAGATATCAACTCACATAGGACAGTGTATTTCCAAAGTGGATTGACGGCACAGAAAACCCCATTTGCATCAATGTAGATAGGAAGGAATCAAGTGATCGGTTTTCATCAAAATGGAAAGCAGAATCTTGTCAAAAAGAAACAATAAATACCATTAAATGAAGAGCAAATTGCATAATTAAACTTTCTTCTCGAGAAATCAATAACCATTTAAGAAGCCTTTTCTGCAACCAACTGTTCTCTGCAGCCCATCAAGGAAGCAGTTCTTGGAAACATTCCGACCATTTCCTTTTGTGATACTGACTCGCCGATGCGATATGTTGACATTGGTATCCCTGCTAACAACAAGGGAAAGCACAGCATCGGTTGCCTTTTCTGGTTGTTGGCAAGGATGGTTCTTCAGATGCGCGGCACAATTGCTCCCGGACAGAAGTGGGATGTGATGGTAAAAGATATATCACTTTCATGATATCTCCTATACAATTTGAATGTGTTAATTTGTGTTACTTATACATGGTTTGTATGTAGGTGGATCTATTTTTCTACAGGGAACCTGAGGAAGCTAAAGAGGCAGAAGAGGAGGAGACTGTTGCGGCCCCTGATTATGGACTCCCTCCAGCAGATTTTGGAATGGGTGGGTTAGCAGCTGATCAATGGCCTGCGCAAATAGGCGATCAATGGTCTGCTGACATGGTTCAGGCACCCATTTCTGGTGTCCCTGCTGCTGTTAACTGGGGTGACCAAGGTAATAACTTCTATTTCTGATTATATCATTTAATTTACGTCTTACTTATTGTTTCCTTTGCTTAATCTACTTTGAAATTTTGAATGCAGTTGCAGTTGGTGGTGCTGAAGGGTGGGATGTTGCAGCCGCTCCAGCACAAATCCCAGGTGTTCCCGTCGATGTCACGGCCCCTGCTCCCACAGGTTGGGTGTGAGAGGGATTCATTTTAAATTTTGGCAAAAATGTTTTGTTTTAAAAAGAACCATTTTGAACTTTGTTATGATAAAGATGGAATTGTGTGTTCTGGCAATAGTGTTCTTGTAGACATCAATGGCTTTAGAAATTTTTGTTATGAATTTATATTCTGTTATATGCGGTAATGGCTTCTTGTTATCAGAATGTGTTAAAATTGTATGCTTTGCATTATCACCTAAACTAATAACCAACAGTGATAAACTAAAGAAAGATTCAAATTCTACCATGCATTTCCCTGTGTCCGAAATAATCAACAATGATCGGATCAATTGGTTTTGTAAGTAATGTGATTGATTTGTGGTCATTGAAGTTTCTAAATTTTTAATGTCATTGCACATTCAATACATTACAAGCGTAAAGATTATTTTCTAGGATTAATAGGAAATTTACATTTGAACACCAACCTCGTGCATTTCAATTTCATTCATTTCGTCCTTTTACCTTCTCTTTTTAACGTTACTCACATTTGCTGACCATCTTTTCTTCTTTCTTTTGTACTTTTCATGTACTATAAGTCTATAACAGTCTCCTCATTGCGTAACTTTTCTGTCAGCAAAGAGAAGATGACAATGAAGATGAAGCTTCACGCTCATCTACTTAATCTTTTCTTCTTTTAGCCTTTGCTGATTTTCCTAATACTGATGGGAAAAATTTCTTAAGAAATGGTTGCATAATTGTCACCTCTCCTATAAAATATTTAGCCAGTGATATCATGGAAATTTCAGTTTCGGCACATACTCAAGGTTTTTAGTACAAATTTATCCATTCTAAATTCCATTCACTATAATTGTATGGTGTTGTGAACAAATATCAATGTTATTCTACTTAATATCTTAATTATTAACTCGACACTACAGGCTTGATTTCCAAAGGTTATATTGTTGAGTATGATTCGAAGAGTATTCGATCATTTGGAATTTTATTCATCAATAATGTATTTTTAATATATTTTTAATAATGTAATTTTAAAAAATCTAAAATTATAATATAATATTTTTTTCGAGCTGCTCACGAGCTTTTCGAGTCGAGTATCGAGTAGCTCGTTTAGATTCGTTAAGAACTCGAGTCGAGTTCGAGCTCGAGTCGAGTCCATTCGATCCGAGTATTTATCGAGCCAAGATCAAGTTGATCTCGAGTAGCTCGCGATCTGTCTCGTCTCATTTACAACCCTAGTCTTTATGGCGTTAAATGGGTCATTATATTATAAGTTTATTATTTCATCATCGTGTTTCAAAAAGTCACAATCGAGTGATTCTATTTATTGATTATAACAACCTGACAATTTTTTGTTAGGTGTGTAACAAACATTAAATTTTGAATATATCTGGGCGATTTAATTATTACAAGCTGTAAATAACATGGTCTAATTATTACAATTTATAACACTCTAAACCTGATTCATAATAACCAACGGGCTTAAAATGTCGTATTGAGTCAAATATTTAAACCATAAAATTTTATCATTCACAAAAATTAATAATTTCATCTATTCCAAAAATAAAACATTTTATACAAAATACAGAGATACGAGGCATAACTGAATTAAAAATAAAATGACCTAAAGAATTACAAATTCATAGTTTACCCAAATATTCATCTATATAATCATTAGCAAAATTATTCACATTCTTTGAATTATTTATTTCTTGGAATTAGACCACTTTATTTAGAATGGACTTTCTAATCATATATATATATATATATATATATATATATATATATATATATATATATATATTGGCATAATATTAAAATTTGCCCCTAATGTTTATTAAAATAATTATTTTATCCCCTATACTATTTTTTGGAAGATTTTGGCCCCATCATTTTATTTTAGGACAAAAAGGCCCCTAACATTTGACAGAATAATCACTTTGTCCCTGATTCTTTTTTTTTTGGGGAATTTTAGCCCTCAATGTTTCGTTTTAGGTTAAAAAAAGATTTTTATTTTGGAGCATTAACCGTGTATTAACTAATAATTTTCATCTATAGAGAAAGTTTTTTACCTAAAAGTGAAACGTTGGGGTCAAATTTCTCAAAAAAAGAAGAAAAAGAACAAGAGTCAAAATGACCATTTAATAATCGATGGAGGCTATATTTGGCATTCTGCATATTATATTTCCTTATCTTCATTTATCCTTTTCACGTAATGCATTTATCATGTCTTATTTTATCCATTATTTTACATAATTTATCATAATTTTAAAATATAATTTTAAATGTATTTACCTCTTATATAAAATTAAAGCATAATGCAAACAAATACCCCTAACGTTTGACAATATATGCAATTTTTTCCTATTGTTTTTTGGAACATTTGACCCCTCAACGTTTCGTTTTGGGTCAAAAAGCACACTTGTTGGATGAAAATCGTTAGTAAACTGACGGTCAACTCCTGAAGCTGACTCAACAAGAACATGTGGAGGGAGATGCTGACGTGGCATGTCCATATCATGGTAGATGATGATGTGGCAGATCTACGTAGACTGAATTCTGACATGGCATGTCCACGCGTGATGCCACGTCAAGAATATTTTTAAAAAAAGTAATTAATAATGAAAATTATTTTTTACTAAATTAATAGCAACCAATTATATGTTGCCATGTGGCACATAGATTTTTTATTAAATTAAAAAAAGGCGGGATTAAACCTCCATAAAATTTTATAACTCATGAGATTTAAACTTGGGTCTAAGGGATGAAAAGCTTGACACCTAACCAGCACAACAAGTCACTTGTTGTTATTGAATGGTTAATAACATTATTTAAAGTATATTGTTGCCATCGAAACCACCATTAAAACAAGCATTTTTTTAAAATCATAGTTAGATTTAAATTGTTATAATTATTTGAGTCAATTTAAATTTATATTTAAAATTTTAATTAATTTTAAATTTATAAACTTTAAAAATAAAAAATAAAATGATTTAATCTCTAATTTTAAGTTTAAATTTTTTATTAAATTTAAATCACATACTCTCTAAGTACAAATATATTTCTTTTATAATTTAATCTCTTAATTTTATTTATTTTAGTTGATGACTAAAAGATTAAATCGTTTTATTTTTTATAAACTTAACACAAGCACTTTTTTTTAAAATTCTAGTTAAATTTAAATTGTTAGAATTATTTGAGTCAATTTAAATTCATATTTAAAATTTTAATTAATTTTAAATTTATAAACTTAAAAAATGATTTAATCTCTAATTTTAGGTTTATTTTTTTTAAATTTGAATGACATACTCTCTAATTACAAATATATTTCTTTTATAATTTAATCTCTTAATTTTATTTATTTTAGTCTTATTACTAAAAGATTAAATCATTTTATTTTTTATAAACTTAACACAAGCACTTTTTTTTTAATTCTAGTTAAATAAATTGTTAGAATTATTTGAGTCAATTTAAATTCATATTAAAATTTTAATTAATTTTAAATTTATAAATTTAAAAAAATAAAAAATAAATTGATTTAATCTATAATTTTAAGTTTATTTTTTATTAAATTTAAATCACATACTCTCTAATTACGAATATATTTCTTTTATAATTTAATCTCTTAATTTTATTTATTTTAGTCTTATGACTAAAAGATTAAATCATTTTATTTTTTTTATAAACTTAACAAAACTACTTTTTTTTTAATTCTAGTTAAATTTAAATTGTTAGAATTATTTGAGTCAATTTAAATTCATATTTGAAATTTTATTTAATTTTAAATTTATAAACTTTAAATAAAAAAGTACTTGTGTTAGTGAAGGTTTTGATGAGTACAATATAATTTAAATCCATATTTGACTCAAATAATTCTAACAATTTAAATTTAACTAGATTTAAAAAAAAATGCTTGTGTTGGTGGTGGTTTTATCTACAGTATACCTTAAATAATGTTATTAGTCTAATATTAAAAACCAAGTGAATTGACTTGGTGTTTAGGCGTCAAGCCTTTCATCCCTTAGATCTAGGTTCAAATCCCATGGGTTGCAAAATTTTGTGGAGGTTTAATCCCCTCCTTTCTTAATTTAATAAAAATCCCATGTCCCACATGGCAATATCTAATTGGTTGCTATTAATTTAGTAAAAAATAATTATTTATTATTAATTAATTTTAAAAATATTGATGATGTGGCATCACATGTGGACATGCCACGTCAGGATTTAGTCTACGTGGATCTACCATGTCATCATCTACTATGATATGGACATGCCACATCATCATCTCCCTCCACATGTTCTTGCTGAGTCAGCTTCAGACGTTGACCGTTAGTTGACTAACGATTTTCATTCAACGAGGGTGCTTTTTGATACAAAATGAAATGTGAGGGGGTTAAATGTTCTAAAAAAACAAGAGGGAAAAAATTCCATAAATTGTCAAACGTTAGGGGTATTGTTTGTATTATGCCTAAAATTAAATATTTTAATAATAAGTATTTAGAAAATTCTACAGTGCTCGACGAACACCACTTAGCACTATTGATTTAATTTATAAAAATTTAATCTATAGATGAAGCTTTTTGCCACAAAGTGAAACGTTGGAGGTCAAAATGTTCCAAAAAAATAGAAGTCAAAATGATCATTTACTAAACGATGGAGGCTATTTTTGGCATTATGCATATTATATTTCCTTATCTTCTTTTATCTTTTTCTCTTAATGCTTTTATCATGCCTTATTTTATCCATGATTTTACATAATTTATCATAATTTTAAAATATAATTTTAAATGTATCTACCTCTGATATAAAATTAAATATTTTAACAATAAGTGTTTGAAAAATTCAATAGCGCTTGACGAACATCACTTAGCACCATTAATTTAATTTATAAAATTTTAAAAAACATATAAGTATAAATTAGTTAAAATTTTAAAGGTAAATCATTTAAAATAAAATACTAATTATATTATTTTCCATAATCTTTTTTAACAAAAAATGTTTAGTATTTTTAATTTAGGGGTTGGAATTTGATCCAATTATGGTTAAAAAATTATCAAAAATAATGTAGTTAATATTTTATTTTAAAAAATTTATCTTTAAATTTTTAACTAATT